TATATCTTTTGCTCCACACAGCTTTTGTTTCTTTCATTAGTTTTAAGTAATTTTTATATTTGGGCTAAATTATTTCATTAATCGTTTTGGGGTTTTAAATTTATTTTACTGTATATCTATGATTTTCCTTTTTTAATACATCCATAACGCAGTATCTTTTGATATTTGTATATGATTTTTCTTTTTTATTCTATCTTCACTGTTTATCCTTCACTGCACTATATGGCCACCATCGCTACGTCTATTTTAGTTCAAATTCAGTCACACATAGGGATGAAAAGTTTTCCGATAAAGGAATTCGAAAAAAAAATTCTATTACAAATGAGAATGATTCTCATTTGTAATTGACTTTCTCTTCATTCCTGCTGTCACGATTCATTTTCCCAGCATGATTTACTTTTTCAGCAGCGAATTATCTCTATAATTATAAGGACATTGTGGAACTGGTATAACAAGGTCTAGTTTTCTAAAATTTATGGATTCGCTAACTTCCTTCATTATTTTTTTGTATCAAATAATATGTTTGGAGGGGGAAATGGGGATGTTGGAGGTTTTGTTTCTCCAGAATGACATGATTCAAATTTTGTATTCTTAGTCAAAAATGTATATCTTCCTCAGATCTCTATATCTACAAGTTTCCATAATTTGGAATTCCGGTGATGATGATAATATTAGCTTCTCCGATTGTTTAAAATTTCTGCGGGCACCTTTCATGGATTTCATCAATTTTTCTGATTTCACTAGGAAATTTCAAATCTTGCTCATTACTCCTGAGTTGCGAGGCATTATCTTTTTACGCTTCCTATAGTCCATCGTTTTTCAGTCATGCTATATCAAACACGGAGTTTTACTTCTTTTAACTAATTTTTTACTATAAACTAAATAAATGGAAGAGTTTACGAAACTTTTGGTAGATGGTTAATTCTTATTTTCAGTTATTTAGGTTACGTGCTCACAAGATCTTGCAAGAAATAAAAACATGAAATCTCAAGAAAATTGAAAAGTTGGTTTTTGTTTGACAAGATTTTTCAACCGTAATTGACGAATTGTTTATATAATGGTTTTCAAGTTCACAACATTTATCAGTAATTGATGAACAAGTTATCTTTTTTTTGATACAGTTTTAAACCTTTCTCTTCTAGTTTATGTGTGTTATCAAACTCGATCTTTAACGCTTGTCGATATTGAAATATTAATTTTAAAATTTCAACACATGGATGAGAAGTTGAAATTCATGAGATTAGTGACAAATGATAAAGAGATGCCAGAAGATCATTATATATGTTGTAAAATAGTGTATTGCTGAGTGTAACAGTCCCACTTTATTTTGGTCGCTTTCTTAATTGTTATTAGCACATCTTTGATAGCTCATGTATTATTTCGATTTATTGTTCAAAAAGTTCTGCAATATAACAAACTGCATGCATAAGCGATGATAATGTGACAGCATGATCAGTGCAAGAAATATGACAAATGGTTGGTAAAACTTGTTAAATGGCTTTTTCCTTTTTTTTGTTTCTTTTTCATTTCTTTTTTTTTCGGTGAACCTCACATTTTGCCATTAAATCGTTCCATTAGTCATTTATTATTGCAAACAGAACTTGCTGACTTCTCTTAACACTCTTGAATTGAAGAATAAGCCTCAGGCTATAGATGTTAATGGAGAGGTTATACTTATATTGAGTGGGTGAAAAGATGGGGGCGTTTGTGCACATTATAGCGATCATAGCATCAGAACTTCTGATTGTCTTCATGGTTTTTAGAGTTGTTTTAATCTTTTGATCGTTTGAATTTTCTCTGGTTACTGATGCTTCTGAAATTAACATCGGGAATCATGTTTTGATCTTTATGTTAATGCCCCTTAGCATGAAAATCTGAAGTGAAATTGGGTCGAAAGTGATTTTTCCGAATGAGTAATCAGAAAATGCATTTTCATTAATGACCCTGATGATAAGTTAATGACAGCAACCTGTCCATTTTCTTCATATCCTGTTTATTTTTTGTCACGTGAAGCAGCGGTTTAAAAACTGGGGAATCCTTATTGGTAATCATTTCTAAAACTTGCTGAAATTTCGCCAGCAGTTCTTTTAGCACCAGGGGTTCATTCATTCCGCGTAAAAAAACACTTTATAACGGGAACGATAAAATGGTCAAAGTGAAATCTTTTCTTGGTGCCCCTTCCTTTTCCTCAACTCATTTGCTGTACAGTCCCTTCTAATTTTTCATTTCATTTTGTACTTCTCATTTTCGTATTAAAAATTTGGCTTTTCTGTTGTAAAAAATATCGTTAAAGGAAAAACTTTAAAAGTAACACTTTCAAATCATTTTGGTGTTGAGAGTGGTCGCCGAGATGTGTTTTGGTTGAATAATTAAAGTTGATGAGAACGTGCAATTCTTATTGTATTACTGCGGTGTATGAATTGTATGAAGCATTTCTCTCAAGCATTTTAAAAGTACACACGATTTCGATCAAAATTATGCTGACACTTCAGCATGCTAAGTGATCATAGCAGTATCATAGCCTCTAATTATTGTCTCTAGTTTCTAAAAGTAACTTTAGCTTTTTGAATTTTTGGATTTTATCGGGTTGGTAATGCTTATTAAAACTGAATTCTCCATGTTAATGTTCGCTAACATGACAATGTAAACCAAATTGGCCGAAAATGATTCATTCAAATTAGTATAAGCAAAACATACTTTCAAGGTGCTATTGTTCCCAATTTTGCTTTCACCATTTATTTTTGTCAGTCTTCTCCTTCTCTTTTCACTTGCTTTTTAAAATTTACCTTTCCTTTTATGCAAATGGCAGTTATCACTTCTTGTGAAAGGAGGAACTACGGTTAAGGAAAATAAGCAGTGATGATGTCATCTTTGTGTCACAATTATGCTTTTTCTACTTATTCTCCACTAGCTTTTCGTTATATATTTTGAAATAGTTTCATTATCATTGCTATTTAACAATAATTGTAAAATAAGTCGTGCAAAAATGAATAGTACAAAAGTACAAAATAAATGATTCTTTCTCAGTGCTCCTTACACTTTTCTACTTCCTAAACCAGTTACTGTAGCATTTCTTAATTTTCCTTTCTCCTTACTTACTTGCATTTTAAAATTAAAATTACATAACTATTTCTTTTTGTAAAAAGGAAAAACTTGTTGAACAGCAATTTCCAAAATTATTTTGATGAGGAAAAAATCATAATACTTAAAATGTGCTGTGGGTCGTGCACAATGAAAAAAGTATTTGAAGTGGAGTGTGCTTTCATATGCTGTCGTGTAACGGTATGTTATTTTTTGTCATTGACAGTTACTTTATCATCAGTTCTTGTTAGTGGATTGTCATAATTTCTCAATATTTTCCCTATTCATCGCTGATCAACAAAGGATTTCCAATCAATTAGTATAATATTTCGGGTAGATTAGGTTTCAGTAATTATGATATTTAAGGATATTGAAATAATGTTCAAAATGTAGTAGTTTTTTTCTTTCATGTTTCATAGAATGTTTATAATAGCTTGTATATATATATATATATATATATATATATATATATATATATATA